AAAAAAAAAAAAAGTGGTTCTGTTGTTTGCAACTAGACAACATCTTTTTAATATTACCGCAGGAAGCCACTTTACAAAAACAGTTTGATAGCTTCAGTGGTAAGCTTAGAAAAGCAAAATTTTCACATGCTTAGCGTATTGCACACTTAGTGTGTCAAGCAGGAAGCCTGCTTGTTCTTGCAATGTCAGCAAGAAGCCCTGTTTGTATTAGGTGGCAGGGCTACTCAGAAACCTGTGAAATTTGGTGCTTAACCAGAAAAAAAAAGGCCAGTGCAGAAAAAAGTGCATTTCTATAACCGGGAAACACAATTTTAAATAGTATTTCAATTTCCCGATTCTTTTTTCTGGTTTTTGAATGCCATTATATAAAGCAATGACTCTTTCAGTGCCACATTTACTTTGGCTTAGTGGTGACCCAGAGATATGCAGTGGAGAAAAAAAAAAAAAAATCTCTTAACTCTGCTTATTGAGAGCGGACTAAAGGAAAGGGGAAATTACTCCATAAAACTGGGTGCTACTGGCTTCTTCAGACCAAGAATTGCAATTCCTTTTAATAGATCAAAAATGTGGATGAACTGCAAAGATATGTGTATGTGCTTTCATGTTAGGTGGATGATGAAAGATGAGAGGATGGAAGTCTTGGTGAATCAGGAGGGAATGGGTGCTGAGCTTGGATAGGAAGGATGCTTAATAAATGCATCCCCTGTGAGGTTGTTTTGAACTGTCCATTTTGAACCTTACCTCACATACACAGAGCACGTGAGATGGGCCCTGGGGGCGCCGCCGTTGTTCTGGGGTGTAGCGAAGCAGTCCTGTGCCCTTGAAGGCTGGCAGTATTGCTGTTGAATGGTGTCCAGAGAACATGGAGGAGGAAATAGGATCAGAAGTGAGGTCCTCCTCCCTTGAAAACTTGATCTCAAATGTTTTACTCACATTATTATTCGTCTTTAGTACAATCTTACAAGGCTTCACTTGAAATCAGAAGGGGGGTTTTTTTGTGAAAAAATATGTAAAATACGAAAGTAGAACCAACAGCAGATTATTTTACAGTAAGTCATTATGTATTTCTGTTTCTTCGGAGGAGCAGCTGAGTCTAACATTGCAGTAACTGTTTCCTTGAAAACAATATGCGTTTGCACTAAAAAACTAAAATAGTCCATGCTGCAGTTTATTCACACAATTATTGTGAACTTGTAAACCAGGTGAGAAGAAACAGTTGTATATTTCACTGTCACACAAACTTCTTCTAGAAGAGAAGGAAAAAACCAAACCTGAATGTAGGTTACATGAAACCATATTGCAGTTAACTAGTGCATCACTGCTGTGATGCAGACTAATTCATTGCCATTGAAAGGATAAGGGGAGATTTTCCAGTGGAGGTTCTTTTAAATTTAAAACAAAGGTCTGTTAAGCTTGTTACACGAAACTCCTTGAATTGGCTTTTAAGGAAATTGTCCTCACCTCTCCAAACCTTTTGTTTTGCATTCTATGTATGCCAAGGCAATTTTTACAGACTTGCTGACATGCTAGATATTTAATTGGACAAGATAGTATGGATTTCCCCCCCCCCAGGTAGTGGGTAGACCTTTATGTCCCAGAACGAGTGAACTGATTTGTTTATCTCTAAGTAAAACTGACCTTTCTAAAAAGCATAGAGTGCTTGCAGACATTGACTGCACATTTAGGGACTTAATTAAATTGCTATTAGAGAGTAATTCAGGTGATGGCCACAGGA